TTTTGTGTGCTTTGTGTGTCTGTGCTACTGGAGCTTGAACTCAGAGCCTCTTAATATGTTTGCCTTTTTGCTCAAGGCTGGTGATGTACCACCTGCGCCACAGCTTCATTTCCAGCTTTTTGTTGATTAATTTGAAGATAAGAGTCTCATGAACTTCTGCCCAAGCTGGCTTCAAACTCAGATCTCAGTCTCCTGAGTCGGTAGGAGTACAGGTGTCAGCCACCAGCACCTGGTTGCAGTTTTAGTATTTTGAGGGATTTTACAGTGAGCAACTACATTTACTACCTAAACTCTTCCAAGCTACATCTTAATGTGTTTTCTCACATCCATCCCTCATCCATCTTTCTTGGCACATTTCTTAATACCTATAGATACTGTTTCATCATGCAAATCATTAAATAGAACTGAATATTTGTTTACAGCTTTTTCCTGATATAAAATACAGATCATAAAATATATAAATTATAAATGTTCTATTTGACCTGTGCATAAACTGTAGAACCCAGATTATTGTCAGCATTCAAAAAGTTGTTTCCTAGGCAGCCAATGCTGCAGTTTTTCTGCCATTAGGTTAACATTTAAAGTAACAATAAATGTGTTGATGTTGGATGCTCTGTGATTGGTTCTGTCCTGTTTACATTTTTCACACCATTCATCTGTGTATTTCTAGAACTTACAAATTTCATTAGCCTTCTGAAAGGCATGAACTTGATTCCCTCCCACTTACTCTGTATTTTCAAATTTTTAAATTGGTACCATAAAGGTGATGTACAGAGGGGTTACAGATGAAGAGGTAAAGAGTACAGGTCCAGAGTACATTTCTTTTTGGACCATGTTACCCCTTCCCTTGCTCTCTCCCAGTTATGTGTTAAACTCAGGCATTCTACTGCTTGAGCCATGCCCCTAACCCTTTTATTGTTAACATTTCAAATAGGGTCTCAAGTTTTTGCCTGGGGCAGCCTGGACTGTGATCCTCCTGTTTGCACTTCCCACTCAGCTGGGATGACAAACATTCATCAGCAGGTCCAGATTTTTATTGTCTGAGATTGCTAAATTTTTGCCTGGGATGGCCTCAAACTATGATCTTCTCAATCTTCACTTCCTGGGTGTGTGTGTGTGTGTGTGTGTGTGTTCCTGGGTGTGTGTGTGTGTGTGTGTGTGTACTGGGCCTTGAACTTGAGTCAAGGGCACATTGTCCCTTCACTTCCTGGGTGTGTGTGTGTGTGTGTACTGGGGCTTGAACTTGAGTCAAGGGCACACTGTCCCTAGCTCAGTGCTGACACTCTACTATTTGAGGTACAGCTTCACTCCCATTTTTGGCAGTTAATTGGACATTAGAACCTCACAGACATCCCTCCCTCCCTCCCTCCTTCCTAGTCCTTCCTTCTTTCCTCCCTCCCCTCCCCACACAGTTGTGCATAAAAAAATTGAGCAGGAGTGCCATGTCCTGAGTTCAAGCTGGGCACCAGTAGCTCATACTGTAATCCTAGCTACTTAGGAGGCTGAGATCTGAGGATCAGGGTTCAATGTCAGCTTGGGCAAAAAAGTCCTGGTGAGACTCTTATCTCCAATTAACCACTCAAAAAGTAGAAGTGGCGCTGTGGCTTAAAAGGGTAGAGACTAGCCTTGAGCAAAAACAGAGCTCAGGGGCAGCACCTAGGCCCTGAGTTTAAGCCCCGCTAACAGCAACAGCAATAACAACCTCAAATTGGCTAGAAGCTCAGTGTTGGAGTGTGTGCAGGCGGGCCCTGTGTTCCATCCACAGCATCTCAAAACGTGTAACTTCTTGTTTCCAGTGTAGTTTACCGTGGTTTCGGGGCTAACTCTACGTGCGTCCTTTCGCGGAGTGTCATCTGCCCCCCGCGCTCTCCCATCCCCTCCTTTCCATCTCTAGCCATGAGTTGCACAGTGCACTTTTGTCAGAGTCCACGCAGCCACTGTGCAGCACCGCTGCAGCTCCTGCTTCCCCCTCACCCTTCCTCACATGTGCACCAGCCGTCAGAAAAAGAAAAAACAAATGAAGGAAAAAAGCCCTTCTCCCCCTATTTTGGAGTTCATTTCAGGAAGTATATGACTTCATATACATATGAAGAGGAGCTCTGTGATTCTCTCCTATAACTATCCCTTTGGTCAAACTGTATGTGAGTATCTAGAATCCTGTGTGATCTGTCATACCCCAGTGTGTGTTAGATCTAACTTCCACTTAACAGGGAGAACAGGCACCATGTCTCTCTCTAATCTTGCCTTACCTCACTTGACATCTGTTCTAGTTCCATCCATTTCCCTGCAGATGACATTTTCTTCCTTCTGATGCTGTGTAAATTATATATAGGCACCACAGTGTTTGGATCGGCTCCTCTATGGGGGGCATCTGGGTGGCTTCCAGATCTTGGCTGTTGGGAATAGTGTGGCCGTGAACATGGATGTGCAGGCGTCCTTGTTGTATCCTGGCTGGGTAGAGGCCCAGGAGGGGGTATGGCGGGTGGTAGGGAAGGCCTGTGTTTAGTTTTCTGAGGATCCTCCACACGGCTGTCCAGAGTGGTTGTGCTGGCCACATTCCCACCAGTGGTGCGGTAGGGCTCCTTCCCCCACATCTCCTCCAGCATTTGTTGTTGTTTGAACTCAAAATGTTGGCCAGTGTACTGGGTTAAGACAGTATCTTGGGGTTGTTTTACTTTGCATTTCCTTTATGACCAGGGATGAGCAGCATTTCCTCATGGGTTTCTTTGACATTCTTACCTCTTATGAGGAGTCTCTCCTTAGTGCCTTTTGCCTGCTTACTGATTGTTTTAAAGGCTCTGGGGGGAGTTAATTTCTTGAGTTCCTCATGTATTTTGGGTATTAGGCATTTAATGTATTGCTGGTAAAGATCTTTTCCCAACTGGTTGGCTGTCTTTCTAGTTTAGTAACTATGTCCTTTTGTTCTGATGTAGTCCCCCTTGTCCAGCCTCTCTCCTATCTGTTATACCCACGGGACTCTGTTCAGGAAGTTCCTGCCTATGAGTTCTGATGTTTCTCCTACTCCGTAATGCAGTCGTTTCAGAGTTTCAAATCTGATGTTGAGTGTTAGGTTTTTAAAAAGAGGTAGCCGATTAAGAACTGCACCAGCACGCACGTGGTATTCAGGTAAGGGGTAGGTTTATTCAGTAGACCTGCTGGGACCAGGCAAGGTTGGCACTCCACATGGCTGGGAAAGGCCTGGGAATGAGAGAGAGAGCTGGGAAGAGAGGAAAGAGAGAGAAAAGAGCTAGAAAAGAGCAGAGAGAGGGGTAAGAACAGTAGCACTCACGTGGTATTCAGGTAAGGGGTAGACCTGCTGGAACCAGGCAAGGTTGGCACTCCACGTGGCTGGGAAAGAGAGGAAAGAGCTAGAGCAGAGAAAGAGCAGAGAGAGCTAGAAAAGAAGAGCAAGAGCAAGAGAGAGAGTGAGAGCAGAAAAGAAGAGCAAGAGCAAGAGAGCGTCTGGGCCTGGGCTAGGCCTTATGTAGGGTATGGGTGGAGAAAGGTGTGGCCACATCAAATTAGATGTGACCTCAGCGGATGCAGATGTGACCTCTTCCAGGTGTCCCAGTTGCCTAGGTAACGCAGGTACTGGGTGGAGACTTTGCTGCGAGGAGGGTGGAGTCTGCTGGCCATCTAGGAGCGGACCTTACATTGAGGTTTTTGACCCACTTTGAATTGATGTTAGTGTATGATGACAAGCAGGGATCTACTTTTAGTTTTCGACATATGGCTGCCCAGTTTTTCCAGCGTCAATAGTTGAAGAGGTTGTTTTTTCCATTGTGTCTTTGGCTCCTTTGTTCAATATCAGATGACTAAGCATGTGGTTTTATTTCTGGGTCTTCTAATCTGTTCCATTGATCTTCAGGTCTATTTTTGTGCCAATACCAAGCTGAATTTTGTTATTATGGCTTTCTACTAGAGTTTGAATTCTGGTATTGTGATACCACCTGCATTGTTGTTGCTTTGCCTGGAATTGCTTTGGCTATTCTAGGTCTTTTGTTGTTTGAATTTTTGGATTGTTTTCTCCGGCTCAGTGAAGAATGTTGTTGGGATTCTGATGGGGATTGCACTGAATTTCTGTATCATTTTTGGCAGTATGGCCATTTTTACAATATTGATTCTACTTACCCATGAACATTGAAGGTCTTTCCATTTCCTGGTGTCTTCTTTGATTTCTTTAGATTTTTATAGGCTTTGCTATAAAGACCTTTTACATCTTTGGTTAGGCTCCTAGTTTTTATTGTTTTTTGGGGGGGCTACTGCAAATGGGGTTGTTTTCATGATTTCCCTTTCTGCTTGTACATTGTTGGCATACAGAAAGGCTACTGATTTTTGTAGGTTGATTTTGTATACCGCTATTTTGCTGAAGTGATTTATTAGTTCTAGGGGCTTGGGGATGGAGTAAAACCTGGATTCATCAGTAAAAATTAATCACACTCAAAATTATGAGTCAGAGAAAAGGAGACTTCACTGAGGCTCCTGGCAAGAGGTCTGGTGGGAACAAGCCAGGAGCCCCGTCTGTCTCAACACAGAAGGCATCTAAGAGTGAAGTCCACAAAGGAACAGCTCCTCAGTGTGGTCCGATCAGGAAGACCAGGGAAGGGGGCTGGCAGTGTGCCTGTTTATGAAAGTGTGCAGTGGTAGTGGACTGTTTGAAACCTCGTGTTGGGGTTTCCTGTGCGTTGCCATAGCTTCCCTCCTTTCCTTCAGCTCCCTCATTTTGTTCCTGCTGCCATCTGGAGGGGAGGTGGGCATGCTGGTGCACTAGGTGGCGATGCTCCGGTTTTTTATAGACTGCGTTGACTATAGGAAGTATCTTAGCCAGCAGTGATGAAAATAATATGCAAAGCTTATGGTTCACAGGTTTTCTTACATCACATCTCAGGTGCAGTACCACAAAATTATGTTTAAACTAATGGTTACAACTTTTTCTTTGATGAAGTAGGTATTTCAGTCCTATCAAAAATGTGTCAAATGATTATGCATCTTTAATACAGAGTTCCTGAGTTGGAGGTGGAAGAGGAAACTCAAGTTCAAGAGATGACTTTAGATGAGTGGAAGAATCTCCAAGAACAAACCCGACCAAAACCTGAATTTAACATCCGGAAGCCAGAGTCCACTGTCCCCTCCAGAGCGGTGGTGATTCACAGGTCAAAATACAGGGATGATGTAAGCATCACATTTTGTACCCAGGGTAATCTTTTCTTTTTCCTTATTGGAAACAAAGTATTCTTGTTTCTGCTTAGGAGTCTTTGGATGCTGAAGAGAAACTAAAGCTTAATATATTGACAGTGACATTTAAAAAATTTGTTACAGCTGTAGAGGAGATGTACAGAGGTAAATCAAGCCATGAGGGTATTTTTCAACAGTGAAATTTAGTGCATTTCTGCCCACCCTGGACTGTGCTGAGACTGCAGATTCTGTGTGTTACTTGTATTTTTTTCTTGTAAAGGAGAGGTACAGAGTGTTTCCTGTATCCTGCCATCTCAAAGGATAACGGTGTGTGTTTTCATGACAGATTGCTCGATGTTTTGTCCATGCTCCCGTGATCAGGAATGAGCTCAGGGTCGCATGCGTGCTGTGCAGGCCCTCGGTCATCTGAACCACCTCTGGTTATTTTTGAAATAGGTAGTCTTGCTTTATACCCTGTCCAGCCAAGACTGTGATCCGACTGCTAATGCTTTTTACATTGCTGAGGTGAAAAGCATGTACCACTGTACTAGCCGCTGGCTGAGATGGGAATCTTGTTCACTGGTTTTTTCCCTGGCTAGCCTCAAACTGCCGTTCTTCAACCTCTACCTCCCAGGATGCTTGAGCCGCTGCCCCTGGCTTCCTCCACTCTGCTTCTTGAGAGTTGATCATTTTAACTATAGTTGGGATCTACATTGTGATGTCTTTTTCATATTAGTTCAGCGTATTTCGTATTAGTTCTATCTAACTGCTGAGATGTTGGACAGCACGGGTGAGCACTCAGATATTTTCCTGTGGGTGGGTGCGTGCGCCTTCTCAAGCTGAGCCATGTCTCTCGCTCCTACATTAGTTTTGTTGTTGTTGTTTTGCTTTTTAGATGCTTCAAGTTTAGATGTTTCATGTTTGATAAGGCTGATACTGGGGTCATTTTAATCCCCTTCCTTCTAAGTTACTGATCTTGAGACATGAATCCTTCCAATTATAGAATTTGAATACTACTGGTTGTGCAGGTAATGGTGATGTACAAGCCCTGTGCTGGATAGTCATTGAATTCCAGTCCATCTGTCGTATAACTGTGTCTGTGTTCCTTTGTCCGTGTCCTGTTGCTGTGACAAGATACTTGAGAACAGCTCACAAGGAAGGAGGAAAGGGCTTGGAGGCTTCACGGTATGGTGACTTTCTCCTCTTGCTTTGGACCTTGTGGTAGCACAGAACAAGGTGAAGCACATAGCAGAAGAAACTGCTGACATCCTCTTGGCTAAAAGACAAAAAAGGGAGGGCCCCAGTATTCCCTTCACATGCCACAGCCCCCTCCCCAGAGTTCTGCCATATCTCAGCAGCGCCATGGCTGGTAACCAAGCCTTTGGGATGTGGGTTGAAGAGACGTTTAGGATCCAAGGCGTAACAGCTCCATTTGTACATAAGGTAGTTGAATTCTCTAAATACTTTTAGAGGCTCCTTATGATACCACCTCTTCTCTGCCTTCCGGATTGGTCAGGTCTAGGAAGCCTGACTACTAAGGCTCTTTAGAAACAGAACGCAGAGCCTTGCTGTCTTTTACATCACAGTGGAGCGTTTTACAAGCCCATTGGCTACCTGGGTTGGCTACGTTGTCTAATCCATGGTTCTTTTTTCTTCTGAGCATTGTGAATAAAGCTCTGAAACAAAGCTCTGAAACAATTGTGTCATCAGGCTGTGAAACATGATACAAACAGGTAAAAACAGAAGCTTCTTCCTGAGTGGACGTCAGGTTCGTGGATCCAAGGGAGGCACTCAAGTGACTGGGTTAGCCGAGTCATACAGCCTGGTCTCAGTGAAGGCACGTCTGGTTTTTGTTACTCTTGTGGCATTTTAGATGTTGGCCAGCAATTGTTCTTAATGAGTCAAATTGTTGGGTCATTAGTTCACCTTGGTCTTGTCCACCCTAAGGAACAATAACAAAAAGTCTTGGAATAGCATTTGTCCACCCTAAGGAACAATAACAAAAAGTCTTGGAATAGCATTTCTTATTTGCACCAGGAGCAGCCAGCCGGCCCGGCGGTGAGTGGGCGCCTCTCACTTCAGTGCACTGGGCTTCCTCTGGGCCGGGAGCCTGCAGTGCAGCCCGCGGACGCTCCTGCTGACGCACACGGACAGCAGGAGTTCCCTAAGGCAGTAGTTTGCCTCCTCTCTTTTGTGGGTTTGGGCCTGTGCTCTTGACTTGCTCATTCCTTCACTTTTTTAAGCTTCAAGGGTTCATCTACCCCAAATCTCCAGCACTTTGTGATTCTTATCTAAGACTACTGCCATGCTTTGCAGGCCTAGATTTTTAGGTAAAGCAGGGTTTATTTTGTTTTATCTATGATTTTGAAATGAAATCTTGGTGAGAACTAGGTATGGTGGCTCATGCCTATATATCCCTAGCTACATGGGAGGCTGAGAGTGGAAGGATTGCAGTTTGAGGTCAGTTCAGGCAAAAAGCTCAGGAGACTCTGTCTCACCCAATAAAGCAAGATGCAGTGGTGCGTGCCTGCTAAACAGGAGGCTTGCACCCCCGGCGACAGGTACAAAAAACTGCATCTATAGCAGTTCTTTAAAAGTAGCAGCACTGGAAGCAATACTTAACCATACTTTGTTTTACAATGTCTATATATTTGAGTCAGAATTGTTCAGCATAAATCCCGCAGTTCATCAGTCAGCACCCATGTTGAAAAGAATTTTCTCTGTAAATTCTATTTCTCAACATTTATGAATAGCATTTAGGAATAATGCAGAAGACTAAAACATTAATTTAATCTCAAAATGCTGAAATGGATAGAACCAGAACTAATCATATTAAGCCAAGATCAGAGAGACATGTTCTCTCTGATATGCAGAAGTTAGATCTAAAATGCACTGGGATATGACAGATTACACAGAATTCTAGAATCATATACAGCGAGTAAAAGAGGATAGTCTTAGGAGAGAATCAAAGGTACCCAAGCACCTCTTCATACGTACATAAAATAATACATGGACACAAACTCCAAAAAAAAATTTGTATTATAGTTATGAAATTTTAACCTGTAAAACACAAATTTGGGCATATTTGGAGCTGGGCACTGATGGCTCACGCCTGTCATCCCAGCTGCTCAGGAGGTTGAGACCTGAGAATCGCCGCTCCAAGCCAGCCTGGGCAGGAATGTCTGTGAGACTTATCTCCAGAAAACCAGAAGTGGTGCTGTGATCAAGAGGTAGAATGCTCGCCTTGAGCTGAAGAGCTCAGGGACGGTGCCCAGGCCCAGAGTTCAAGCCCCATGACCAACCCCCCCTCCCCCCCCCCTGACTGTACCTGGGCAAGCGTGCTGTGCAGTGAGCTGCTTGAGCTGTCGTGGAGGTAGCGGTGTCTTACGTTGTCACCGTTTCAGATGGTAAAGGATGACTATGAGGATGAGTCCCATGTTTTCCGGAAAGCCGCCAATGACATCACATCCCAGCTGGAGATTAACTTTGGTAACCTCTCCCGTCCTGGACGTGGAGCCAGAGGTGGTACCCGGGGAGGCCGAGGAAGGACCAGAAGGGCAGAGAACTTCGGGCCCAGAGCAGAAGTAGTGGTAAGTGGCTGTGTTATGCATGCTGGGTGATACGCTGGGGCCTCGGCTGGGGGCCAACCCTCTGTAAGCCCGGCCCCATCATCTGCCCACCGTGAACTGGAGAAAACCACCTTCTCGTCTGCGTGGGAGATCCCAAGCCAGGGGATGGACGCAGGCCCGCTGGCCGGCTGCGTCAAGGCCCCTTGGGATAAGCCGCCGCCGTCCCCTCTGCCCCTCCCCTGCTGCGCCACCCACCCTGCCTGACTTGGAGCGCCTCACCCTTCCTGCCATCCCCCTGTAGACTAGTAGGGCCTTTGAACAGAGGGCCTTTTCTTCTCTGAAGCATTCCTTCCATCCGACAGGACTAATGATGGATATCTGCTTTTGCTCATTACTGATCATGCTGTCCAGGCTCCATGTGTTTTCTGAGCAAATGCACTCACACAGAGTGGGTTCGGGCGTGAAGCTGGCTGGCCCAGGACCCCTTCTTTGTGGCTAGGAACGGCCCATGAAGACCTGCTCGGGATGTGTGTTAATGTTCAGGTGTACTTGGCGCCAGGGTTCTCTTTGCATTCCCTCCTTTCAGACGGCATCCTGGCGCGCACAGCTCACCCCTGCTGCGGCGGACCGCCGCTCACCGGGCCACGGGGCTGGCTGGGCACCCCGGTGGAGCTCAGCAGCTTCCCAGAAAGCCTCGAAATGCCTGATAACAGCGTCCTCACTCTGTGGCTGAAGTTTCTCACTTAACGGCACTCCTGGCCGGCTTGGGCTCGGTTCAGAGGTGTTAGTGCCTTGATGACAGCAGCTCTGCATTCTCTTCCTCCCACTGTGGGCCCTGTCTCCCCCCGAGACTCCTGCTCCTGGGGTGCTGGTGGTGGCTACAGCAGGGTAGGTAAACAGTTAATTTCAGACCATTGTTTTCTTCTTTAGACACAAGACATTGCCCCCAATCCGGATGACCCTGAAGATTTCCCTGCTCTGGCCTGAAAGAGCAGCACTGGTGTGCCCATGAAGAGCCATTTCCCTGGAAACTTGGAGCAGCACTGGTGTACCTATGAAGAGACTTTTCTTGCTGTGGGGAAGAGTCAAACTCTAAGAACAATAGATGTTGCTTTTCGCCAGTCATGTGAATTCATTGAACTTCTTTGCTTTGAGGGGGGCGGAGTGGCTAGGTCTCTCCAGGGACCATGTCCAGGATATGTACATAGAAATTATAATGAATCTTCCTCCAACATGTGGAGTGAGCTAAGCTGTAAATATCTTCAGACTACTTAGTAGTAAGCTGTATAGATAAGTCCTCTAGTATTACAGGAAGTAGAACTTCCACTTAAAGAGTCGGTTGTAAATGTTTTACTTCTCGATTCCTGTTTCCATTCAGCCCATGATCATCACGCTGTGACAACATACAGGTCTTGATTTTTAAGGGTGATTTAAACTACCTCGTGGTTTGTGTATGCACACACACTTAGTGTGTATGTGTGTGTGTGTGTATATATATATATATATATATATGCATATTTAGAGTGGTTTTTTGGGTGTGTATGAAGTATATAATTACGTTATTCACCAAATGACAAGGTTTCTTAGGAGAAATGTATCCTTTTACCCCTAAAACTCATCACAGTTCAACAGCTGAGTAGAGGCCTGCGTGGGAATCACTTGCATTCTAGAGCCCCTGTGTGCATGAGCCCGGCCCCCCAGCTGCAGTGCTGTGGAAGTGTGGCTTCCTCACGGCGGCGGAGCCCATCCCCGGGACCCAGGGCCACGCCCCGTGTCTTAGCTGCGACACTGGTAAATGCCCCGCTGTGCCACTACTGGCCTGTAGCTCTTACAGCCGCAGACCCCGGACCCAGGCCCAACCTTTCCTACTGCTGCTACCCTGTCTAAGATGGCTCTGAAATGAACCCAAGAGCAAATAAAGGCTGGTATTCCCTCCAAAGTTTGTGTATAGAAAACTCAATTCTTTTGGTCACACGAGCCAGCAGAAAGGACATGCGAGCTTATTGCACAGAGAAATCAAGCCGAGTGTACATTGGGTGCCTACTTACAACGTGGACGAGTGCTAAAGGCGTGTCACCCGCTTGCTGCTTCCCTTCCCCCGGCGGCGTGGTCGCCAGGGAGCTGACCTGGCTTGAGGGCAAGGCCATTTACTCAGCATCACATTGTCAGGCTCCCTCACCTTGGCTTTAAGAGTAGCAAAACTAAGATGCCTTTTAAGAAGACTGCCTTCCAGATAAGGCAGCGAAGTCCTAGACCTGGTGGTGCTTGCTTGTCAGGTGGTGTGGTGCCTTCAGAACAGGTGTCTGCCCATCAGCTCATTTGTTAATCCAAGGAGAACAGAGTGGCGGGCAGAACCTGGGTCTACAGCCACTGCCTTTGCCTTTTAACCCATGGTGGATTTCGAATCACTCCTTCTGTATTAGGGTATATTTCTATCACTCTATAAAGTATTGTGATTATTGAAATAAATCTTGTACAGATTAAAAAAAAATTTCCTTCCATACTGTGAATGAGCTTTAAAAGCCTATATCCTAAAGCCAGGCATCAGTGGCTCATGCCTAATTTTAGCTACTCAGGTGGCTGAGGATCACAGTTCAAAACCAGCTGGGTCAAGAAAGTCTGTGAGCTTACCTCCAGCTACCATCAAACAGTTTACCCATCCAGAAAATGGAGCCGTGGCTCAAATGGTAGAGGGCTAGCCATGAGCGCAAAAGCTGAGTCTAGGCCTTGTGTTCAAGCCCTGCATGCACGCGCAAGTGGGCGGGCACGCGCAAGTGGGCGGGCATGCGCGTGTGCACACACACACACACACATACATGCACACAAAAGTCTGCAGCCTGTGTTTGCATCTTCCCAAACACTCTGTACTGTCCCACCACATAGCCTGACAGGGTACTTCCTGTAATGGGTTTGTGCACCCAGATGATTTGGACAAACAGATGCTGTTATGTTCTGTCTGGAGGTGCCTCCACTTGCGTTCCCCAACAGAGACGGCAAGAGCAGAAGCACTGGGCAGAGGAAGCCTGGACATGGCTGGACGCTCTGGATCTGTGTTTCCTGCTGGCTCTTTTCCATCTCTTGGCCTCTGGCACCCCGGGGCCATGTCTCCAGCTCATGACTGAAAACCACGAGCAGATTCCTGAATGGGCCACTGCCAAGGCAGCGAGTGAGGGGGAAGGAGCCTCAGAGCCCTCCACAGCCCTCAGAGCCTCAGAGCCCACCCTCCACAGCCCTCAGAGCCTCAGAGCCCACCCTCCACAGCCCTCAGAGCCCTCCACAGTCCTCAGAGCCTCAGAGCCCACCCTCCACAGCCCTCAGAGCCTCAGAGCCCCTCTCCACAGCCCGGACCAGGAAACCTCAGAGCCTGCCCCTCCACAGCCCTCAGAGCCCTCCACAGCCCTCAGAGCCTCAGAGCCCACCCTCCACAGCCCTCAGAGCCTCAGAGCCTGCCCCTCCACAGCCCTCCACAGCCCTCAGAGCCTGGCCCCCTCCACGGCCCTCCACAGCCCTCAGAGCCTGGCCCCTCCACAGCCCTCAGAGCCTGGCCCCTCCACAGCCCTCCACAGCCCTCAGAGCCTGGCCCCTCCACAGCCCTCAGAGCCTCAGAGCCTGGCCCCTCCACAGCCCTCCACAGCCCTCAGAGCCTGGCCCTCCACGGCCCTCCACAGCCCTCAGAGCCTGGCCCTGACTAGGAAGCCCTGCAGTGCTGCCCCCGCAGACGCTCTGAGAGTAGCAGCTCTGATAAACCCTCCACAGCCAGACTCTGGGGACTGGCCTTTTGGCATTTTCACCTTAGAAGCCAGGCACGCCTTGGGTGGCATTGGCTGGGCTTCCTTTGGAGTCTGAATGGGGCTGGGTCACCTAGACACCACAGGCCCTGCGTGCGGGTTGTGGGCAAGTCACACGAGTGGTCCATGATGTTCCTTCAGAACTACCGGGGCGTCGCCAAGTCAGGGCGGCAGCTGCCCCGTGTCTGGGGCCTCTCCCGGCTCGGCCCGTCCATCTCCACCCTGCCTGCCCCCTCTACAAGGCAGATTCACTTGGAGAAGAGTTGGCCCTTGATCCTGCTGTGGAGTCCCCGGGCTGAGCTCCGCCCCCGCCCCAGCGACAGGGCCTGGCGCGTCGCCTGCCCACCTTGGTGAGACTCAGCTGGGCCCGGCATGGCCTGTGCTGACAGGAATGCAGCGAGGAGACTGGGGAACCTAAACGTACGGACAGGAGGGACGAACGTCCTTGTCATCGCTGCCTGTATCAAACCATTTCCTTCCAAAGAGGAATCACTGCACACGAGCCTCGGGCCTCAGGTGGTCATCCCTAAAGCGCTGCTCCACCCAGACGGGGTCCGGGGCCAACCTGCCACCAGCTGCGGCCTCCCCTGTCCCTGCAGAGGGACAAGCGTGGTGGGTGCTTGTGTCACTGTCACTACGGTGTCAGTGTGCAGGGCTTGTGAGCGTCACTGTCACTACGGTGTCAGTGTGCAGGTGCTTGTGTCACTGTCACTACAGTGTCAGTGTGCAGGGCTTGTGTCACTGTCACTACGGTGTCAGTGTGCAGGGCTTGTGAGCGTCACTGTCACTACTGTCAGTCCCAGGCTTGGTACAGCCAGGATGCCAGGCAGTAGCAGGAGCCTGATGGAGACGTAGGTTCTTTCTACACGGCTCCTACTGAGGGACATGCTCCTTACACACCTGTGCTGGTCCCAGCCCCTTCAGGGGCAGCAGCCCTTGGCAAGCCCGCCCTGTGTTTGCACGGGAGGCACGCGCGTGTGCTGGGTTTACCTCGGCACAGGCAGATTGGCAAAGCAAGCTGTGAGGTCCCAGGTCACAGCGGAGAGGGGCAGGTGGGCCATGGGGCCACAGACAGGGCCAGGCCAGCTCTCCAAGGGCCTGGCCGGCGGCCTTAGGCCAAAGGGGCTACTGGCTCCGCTGCCTCTGCCCAGGCCCTTCTCTGGGCCCCAGGAAAACCCTGCCAAGGCCACATTCTCCATAACGCGAGAGGAACTCCCCTGGCGGGACCCAGCGGCTCCCGCACCGGCCAGCACTGCAGGCATGGCAGGCTCAAAGCCCAGTTTCTCTGCAAGCATGCTTAGTCATGCTCTGGAGAAAGGACTGGCCTCCATTTGTGCATGGATCTCCGTGGGGCTGCTGAGCATTCTCAGCCATGGGAGGCAGGGAAAATCTTTGAGAACCACCGTCCGGCAGCATTTGTGCACACATGCTGCACATGGCCCAGCCCCTGGGCTCTCCTCTGGGGTAGGTGCTTGCTCCCTGGAGGAGGGGGGTTTACCCAGCCTGTGCCGCGGCTCCCTGCCCTGCCAGACCAGCACCGGTCCCGCAGGAGCACGCAGCGAGGAAAACTACCCACAGGAAGGGAGGGCAGCCCGTGAAGGGTGTGGGCATGATGGGCATTAGAAAACACGCTTGGAAATACTCCAAGGGTTCCCAGAGGACAAAGCAGCCTTGGGATGCCTGTGAGCTGATCTCTCCCTCCCTGCCCTCTCCCTGGCCCTCTGGCTCTCCCTCCCTCACCTGGCAGTGGTGAAGAGCACCTGGGGCCAGCCATGCCTCTTCAGAAATGCTGAGTGACTTCGTCTGGGGAGCGGGGCTCCGCTTCCATCACCAGGCTCCTGAGGAGGGTTCTAGCAGCAGCCCTGGTGGTTGTGGGGTGGAGCTGCTACCAGGGAGGCCTTCAGCCGGGCACCTCCATCCTATCATGCCCAGGCCACCGCGAGGCGAACCCGAGCCGAAATCCTAGCACCCGTGAAGAATGAGGCAGAAACTTTTGCAGAGGGCCGAGGCCGGGCCGAGGGAGCACTTCAATGACACACAGAGAGAGTCTCTGGCAGGGGCATGGTGCGAGTGTCCAGAGCCTAGGCCCTGCGGACCCCAAGCCAGAGCAAAAGCCGGTCTAGAAAGGTTACAGCACGCGACAGCCAGCCGTCCCTGAAAACGGGAGACAGCAGCCGCATTACCACCACTGGGATCACTCTGGAGGCTTCTGTGCCGGGACAGGGGACAGGGGACGGGACAGGTTCAGCTGCACACGGGCCAGAGCGCAAGCACGCAGGATAGTAAAGCAAGACACCACCAGCCAGCTCCACTGCCACTCCGCCCTCCACTGCTACAAAGGTACAAGACTCCTCCAGGAACAGGGACAGCAGACATGGGCTGGAGCCTCGGGCCCCATCTCCTGAGGGCCTAGGAGCCCCACTGCCAGCCAGGGCTGAGCCCAAGTCTGCACTCTCCCTGGGCACGGTCTTGGCTCCGGCCCCTTGTGTCAGCAGCCCCCGAGGGCTCTGGAGCCGTTGTGGGCATGCTTCTCAGCTGCAAATGTCGGGGGGTGGGGAGATGAGGAGGCCGTCCAGTGGCTGAGAACATGACACTGAGTAGGTGTGGGGCTGTGTCAGGCTGCATTCTCTGGAGAGTGCCATGTAAGGAAGAACCATCCTGTCTCAGGAGGTACCTTGTTATACATACCCACGCTGGGGACAAACTGGATTTCCTCCACACCACACCATTCTCCCACCCTCTCCCCACTCAAGGTCTTTCCCGGTTTAAAAACACGTTTGGAGCCAGGCGCTGGTAGCTCACACCTGTAATCCTAGCTACCCAGCAGGCTGAGATCCGAGCCAGCCCAAGCAAGAAAGTCCTTGAGACTCTTCATCTCCAATTAACCACAAAAAGCTGGAAGTGGAGCTGTGGCTCAAGCACTGGAGTGCCAGCCTTGAGAAAAGAAGATCAGGACAGCACCCAGGCCCTGAGTTCAAGTCCTGGGACTTGAACACCAAAACACCCCCTCTTCCCTCTCCCCCCTCTGCCCCCCCCCGTTTGGTAATTCTGAGTCTGAGGGGCCGGTGAGCATGTGGGAGGCGGCAGCCTGTGTGGCCTGGCCCTGCAGGGTGGGCCTCCTTACCTGGAGATCTCAGTGTGGACAGAACCCCCATCATCCAGGCACATGTCAGAGCCATGCAGACTTGCTGGCGAAGAAATGAGACATAGTTAGACACAAGGCAGGCCCACCAGGTGTGCTACAGGGGTGGCAGGAAACAGCTGCACCTCCCCGGGACCAGTGTCTAGGGGACTGCACACTGTCCCCAGGCTGTGGGGAAGCACCACAGCCCTGCTTTTGTTCCTTACTGTGCCTCAAAGCGACTGACAAGGATTAACTGACTGAACTGCTACACACCCGGTAGCAGAGATACTGCCCCCTCCATCTGGGAGGGGAGGAAATGGGTCTAAGGAGGGTCCCTGGGTCCAAATCAAACAGTTAAAAGCAGACATGGCCAAGGTTTGGACCCAAACAGTGCAGGCCCCTCAGTCTACTCTGAACAATCCTATCAACCATGCTTGGATGCAGCGTACAACAAATGCTTTACATTTTTAACACATCTTTGACCTAGAACTTCTTTGGTCAGAATGTATACTAATAACCAGCACTGCCCAGTGCCAGGAAAAATGGAGCTCTGAGAATATTCACGCAGTGCTGTGACCAGTGAAGAGCAGGCAGAGGGAGGTGAGGACTCGGGGTGGCCGGTACTCTCTGCAAACGCTGCCCCAGTCACCCAGTCACAGATGGGCAAAGTGAGGCTCCAAAGCGAGACAGACAGAGGAAGTGCGCTGTCCTTGGGACCTGCTGCTCCCACCTTGGCTTGCCTCTTATCCCCACCCCCAACCCCTCAGCCTGGCCTCGGACTTCAAGACACACCTTTAGTGGAAGGAGTTCCACCTCCGAAGTTTCTTCTAAATGCTTACACCATTACAAGTTGCACAGACTTACGTACCTCAAGTATCAGATCCAGGACTAACCAAAAATTGTTATTAAAATTTGTCTTTACCTATCTAAACATATGTAACAAAATAAGTGCCCCACACTGCCTTAACCACTTTGTCTTTACTATCTCATTTGATTCTCTAACTGCTAAAATAGGAACCTGTCCTCATTTAACTGAAGGGTCAGAGAGGGGCGCGGCCAACGACTCCCACGGTGACGGGTCGTGTCGCTCCAGACAGGTCAGCAGAGGCCTGAGCAGCAAGCGTGCACACTGCATAACTCTGGAAAACCCGAGCCCCCCAGTGAAAACTAGATACCATTTGGCTTGGTGCGAAGCCAGCGCTTCACAGACACTCATGACGTCACAGAACTGCTTGGCCTAGGCAGAGCTCCCAGCTGGTGTTCAGGAGGCGAGCACGTCACTCAGCACAGCCTCAGGAGCTCCCTACACGGGGCAGAGAGAGACATGGGGACACACCCACCTGCTGGCACTGGGATGAACTGCGGCATCCAGCGTGGTGAGGGACTGTTCTGTGCAAGCCACCCGGGCAGTGGGACTTTGTTACAATGGCCCTAACAACAAATGTGGAAGGGTGACGGCTTGCTTCATGCTTTAACCTCTGTCCCCCATAACTCGTAACACTCCGCAAGTGAATAAATAGTCAACAAAACGGCTGTTTAATACTTTTAATCACATGATTGTAATTATATAATTTCCACTACTCAGTATTTTGTATAAAACTAGTTACACAAGATTTTCAAATGCAACAATACATACCAAACTACACATATATGCAAAGTTTACAAGGCATTATGAAGCTTTTATCTTAAAAATACCTTCAGGAAAATAAACATTCAACCAGTTCTTTCAGCTTTAAAAATATGATTAGAAATATACATTTTAATTTAAAAAAAACAAGATGATTGATCAAATACTGATTAATCAGTTACATTTTAAAACTTTTAATCATCTGTACATGAGTGCACATTAGATAAAAGTCTGCAAGTTATTAATGTAAAACTGCAGTCCTCCGCTCCCATGAGTGTCTGCTGACTTGATTCTACTGGGCAACTAGGAGTGATTTTTACAGCGCGGGTGAGCTGTCCACCCTTGGAGACACATCTGCAGTGCTTCCACAGCACTGCTCCGATCCAGGGGATGGAGGTGCAGCGGCATTTCATAGGAAAGGGTTATGGAGGAAACACAACGCATTTTGAAGGTTGTTTTTGATGAGATGCTTTCCAAAATGCAGCCCCAAGTTTCAGAAAATGTATCAACAGGACAAACAGTAAATAAGTACACCACTCATTCGCCAAAGGGACGGCTCCCGGAACCCCTGGCACAAAGTGCCCAGAGGAGCGGCAGGTTCGAGCCCAGACCACTCCACTGAGCAAGTGCACTGGCCTCACCCGAGACCTGCCTGGACCCATGCCAAGAGGTAGAAACCACCCTGGGAAGGGGTGGGGGGGGGGTGAGGCCAGCAGGTGGGGAAGGCTGAGGGCATCAAGGCTAGAACTGAAGACTTGTGCAGACAGGCAGAGCAGCAGGTGGCTGGGAAGCAGCCACGCAGACAGGTAAGGCCACCCGAATGAGGCACTGCTGGCCACCCACTCTTCCCACTGGCAGGGGCGCTCTAGCCCTGCCACACTTCCAGGAGCCGTTCCCTGACCCTGGATGAGCTCCATGGGCACCTGTAAATGTTCATCTCTTAATTTGAATTCTACTGGGAATAGCAAACTAAGGCTCTCCTTAAAAGAACCTCTCTGACATGCCTATTTCCTATTACAGAGGAACAAGGTCTTCTGTAGTAAGGACTTGCAGTTAGAAACCAAGATTCTGGGTGTTAGGTTGGTTTCAGACTGAGGGGGGCGCCATTCTGTACTTCCAGGAAGCTCTTCCCGGCTGCCCTGTGTTCCCTCCCGCATCCTCCTGAGCTAGTTAACCTCAGGGATACAGGAGCCACAGTGATGGCAATTCTAAGCAGAAACTTGAGCAGCCAACATAAAAAAGGCAATTTATGAATTTTTATTTTTTTTAAAAAAAGCACTGTGCTTACCAATGAAGCCCAAAGTTGTACTCCTCGCGGAGACCCCAGTGGCTTATTCTCAGGGGCCAGGCCTGAGCAGGGGCCAGGTGGGCAGGCCACATAGCCGCCAGACTGCCGTGCGTGGGGCAGAAGAGCTGCCCTGAGAATCAAGTACGGTTCACGCATGGGCACAGTAGATGGAATGTTCCTCCTCCTACCAAGAACATTCGCCTATTCACTTCCAGAATAGAAAGAGCACGGTTTTCTAATCCCCACGGTTTAAATGCCAGGGCCATCCCAGGCTGTCTGGCACTGGTGGAGAGTCTTCATTCCCACTGAACACCAGCCAATGTCTCACTTGACAACCAGGGCAAGAACCTGAAATGGGGCTCATGGAACGGGGTTCCACGAATTACTGTCTGCACTAATAAACGCAACCTGTTGGCCGCAGTGGGGAGAAGGGCAGCCTGCTCTGATACATTCATCTGTCTTAGGGTGGCTATGGTAGAATACTACAAACCCTCCAGCCTCTAAACAAGGACAGGAAAGAACTGGTTACCAGCAAGTAAAGCCATTACCTCTTATTATGGAAGTAACAAGCATGGTGTGAAATCTTCTTTCCTTATGGGCCCGCGCTGTTTATTTTGCGTTTTCACGTCACAGGCTTGCTGTGTCCCAGGAGGGTGAAGGGTGAAGGCACTCTGCAGAGTTGTATTCCCTAGCCAAAGGCATCGACGCGTTTGCTACTGCGAACAGCCGGAATTCGGAAGAACGGAAGATTGTGTAATGGCCATAGATTGGGGTGGGGGGGGGGAGGGAGGGAAGGTAGGAAGAAGGGAGCAACAATACAAAGAAAGACTCTACAAAGTGTTCACAAAGGTGCATACAAGCTTCTCTTCAAAGTCTGCAAAAGCTTCCATTACGAACTGTTCTCTAGCAAATCTGGGGTGATCCAAGTACCACTTGGTATTTCAACATGCAATATGGTTTAAGTGATTTTTCACAGATTCTTGTCAATAAAGCACTCTTTGGTGGAAGACAAACAGCTTGGGTACGTTACGGAGTGACCATAACAATAGTCATACAGAGAGTAAGGACAAATCAACCAAACAGCATCCCGTAACACAGAGTGCCACATCAGCAGTGCTGGCTTCATCTTTATGACACAGGGGTCACAGGGCAAAAATAAATATGTAAGAACCCTTCATCAGATCCGGCGTTCTTCTGGAAGCCAGCAGCGGACGTGATTGCCATCACAGAAAACACATGTATGTACCGCGTGGACGGGGCAGCCCTCTGGTCGGCAGAGGGCTGCGATATTTACACCTGAGACTACGTACACGTAACACGTACAATGCATCCTTCCCGTTCAACTTGACACAGTTCTAAGAAAGAAGGAAAGCCCTTCAAGTCGTCCGATGGCGACCAAACTCTTGAGTGACAAACTTCAAGGACATTCTCTTCCATGAATTAACTTCTTAGGTGGGAAGCAACTAAGGCTTTTGCAGTTTAGTGTTGTGCTAAACCCTGTTGAAGTTTTCTGTTCCTTCCTTCCTTCACTTCTGGTCTCACTGGGTTTAACTTAACGCAACACTGTTTTAGTCCTTGAAATGGATGGACTGAGGAAGAAAGAAAAAATGTACCATGAAGGTTTTTAAGTATCCTAGAAGTAGTTATAAAGACAAGGAAGGCAACATAATGAAAATACTGACATGCTAAAAATACGTTTTATCATTTTTAATGACAAATATTTGAGAAGACAGTACAATATCAACCACAGAGTAAAGACACACAGGAGAGAAAGGCAGAGCAGAAAAACGTTCAGTTCTGCAAATAAAATAAAATAAACAAACCAAAGAAATAAATGAAAATAAACAGAGCCAGAGGGCAAGGGCGTAGGGAGTAAGAGTACCATAACGCCACCAGAGGCACTTGCTGCAAAGTGCTCCTCCTCCTTCCCTCCTTCTGAGGAGCCAGGCTGTGGGGAACGCGGGAAGAACCAAGAGAGAGAGAAGGGTTACTGGACGATTCCAAAAGACAGAATCTGCTCACAGAAAAAAAAACTCCGGCGTCTCAAGTAGCACGCGGCCCTGCCAGGCAGCCTCCGTCCTAGGTGAACGCGTGGGCTATCTACGCAGGCAGCAGCGCACGCCAGGGCCCCGCTCTGCATGCCAA